TTTTTTTTTTTTTTTGCTGTTTGTTCAAAGACACAGTATGAGAAGGAAGAGCTGACTCTGGGTGTCTTCACTCAAGGAGCAAGGAGCACTTGGGCAGCTCCCACATTTCTGGGCGATAATTCCCCTTCTGTGATCTGGATCCATGGATTCTCTGACTTAATTCTAAAGCAGCCTGAAGACACAGCCATTTAATTCAGCAAACTACTTGTCACTGCTTAACAGAAATTTAGGCAAATTGGTCCAAGGAACTATCTGTACATGACTAGTATTTTCAGATTAACTTTGAAATGGGATTTTACTATATTTATGAATACAAGCAAAACATATTTCCAAAGACAAAGGTTCTGGTGGATTGACAAGGGTAGAAATAATTTGCAGAATCACCCTCTGGAATACTAAAAGACTGTGAATTTTAGTACACTAAAATTCCCAATGTGTTTTGGAATCTCCAATAAATTTTTAAATTGAATTGAAGGAATTTTGAAAATATGGTTCTCCCCCCTCCCTTTTGTTTTAGCACTGAATGAGGGTACAACATGAATTAAATTGATACTAACTTAGGGTTTTTGTTCTCATAAAATAAAGGGTGTATAAATCCATTCCACCTGAATGCCCTGCAATGGATAACTCCAAATAAGAGTAAATATGAATGATATCTTGTCTGTTCCCTCTCACTAGTGTATTTTCTCAGAGTCCAAAAGCAGTCCTATAACCAAATATCTCTCTGAGTTCAAATCGCCCCACAACCATTTAATTGTGGTAACTACCTAGTAACCCAGGGAAAAATTATTCTGTTTGGGCGACGCTTTCATAAAATTAGGATCCTTTCACACTTATTCTTTAACTTTGCAAGTGTCATAAGCTTGTTATCTTGTTATACCTTCTGGTCGGGAGACTATTCCAAAAAAAAAAAAAAAAAAAGACCCCATTTGTCTTCAACTGTGATACTCTCTGTTTAGAGACCATCTAGCTATTTAAAGCACAGCCCAAGTGCTCCTTGCTTTATTGTAGGGGTGGGAAAGGACGACTCTCCTCCTAACATGAATAAGTATGATTTGATGATTTGTTAAGCTGACCAAAGAATACAGCACACAGCATTTGGAGAAGCTTTTGTATTTGAGCTTAAGGTAAATTCATATTTCAGGCAATTATAATGTATGGAGTCAGCTCTCTTTTCTACAGTGTAGATGAATTAGGAGAGCCCAGCTTTGGGAAAGACCAGGTGTGGAAAACATGGCTGGGTGGAAGATATGGTCCTCTTTTTATGTAATGGGGCCACCAGGTACTTTGGTTTTATTCCAATAGTGAGAAGAAACTCCCAACTCTGCTTAAGTAGCAAAAAACATTCAAAGATAGGAAAAAAAAACCCAACAACTGTGTAAAGTCTACATTTTACAAGTTGGTTGGGTGGAGGGAGACTGCCTGTAGGGTGGGGTGGTCCTACTGTTCACTAAAGCTTCACACTGTTTCAGTGTTGAAGTTGGGCCAAACTGTTAGTGGTTGAAGGGAGCTTAGGACATACATGGTGAAAACCTCATTTTACAGATGAAGAAACTAAAGTAAGTGATGTGATTTGTGACAAGCCAGGTGGAGAAGCCACTAAACTGCTAACGCAGAAAGCCCACATCAGAAGAAACAATGGCAAATGTTCCTTCTGAGAAAGAAAAAAAAGATTTTCTATCCAAACCATGTCTCTGCCTGAGGAGAACACTTGTGCCCACATCATACCTCATCTGGCTAGCCGGGGTTGCTGGTCACTTCACAAGATGGCTCTTTTATGTGTGTCTTTGTTCTGTCCTTCAGAGCCTGGGATGATACTCCTCTGTAATCTGATAAGCTTTCTTGCAGCCCTTACTAGCAGGTGTCACTTTGCAATTCTGCCCATGGTTTTCTGGCTGATACTATAATTATATTAGCCACAATATAAATAAATTCACCTGTATCCCAGCTCACAACAATCCACCTACTGGGGACAATACTCCTATCTATTATCCCCAGCTCTGGCTTTGTTCTTCGTTCACAGGACACATCTTCTTTACTCTTTTCTGCCTGCTCCCAAATGAACTCTTTCCACAACTTCCAAATCAGCTCCCCACCATAGCTGACCATGTTGTGTCTGAAGCACTACTGGTTGCTGCGTCTCACCAATCCCAGTCTGGACTTCACTGTCTTGCATTAAATTTATAGCAACAGCACTTTCTCTAGCTTTCCTCCTTGTAGTGACCATGACCCAGTAGATCTACCCTCTGCACTGATGGTAAGTGTCTGTCCTAAAGGAAGACCTCCAATCAGGTCATTCTCTTGACCAAAACTTTCCAGAGGTCACCCAACATCTGCAGAATGAGATCCAATCTTCTTCACCTGGGCTTTTAAGGCGCACTCAAGCTGGATCATCATTCCACTAGAGTGCCAACTGGATGCCATAACCTGTGCTAGGTAGTGCAGAACAAAACCCCTGTCCACACTGAACTTTTCTATTCTAGGAGATGGATATGGGGTAGAAACCAGTCATGTATATACTCTGTGTGTGCATGGGTGTGAGGGGCCATGAAGCAGAGAATACTCTGGGATAAAAGAGGAATGGCACCTAACCCAGATTGTGAGGGAATAAGATTCTAGGGACATAGGGTTGTGAGTCAAGTTAAACTTTTCAGGAAAAGTCACACAACTTGAAACGTGAGAAGGGAATCAAACAAGTGAGAGGAGGGATGATGAGTGATAGTGCACAGTTTCAAATGGAGGATGTAGCATGTACCACCTTATCTTTGAACTCTTCTTCCTGCAAAATTGCCCATACCACCTCCTCCTCAACATCCTTCCTTATTTCCCTCTTGTTAACCTTTCCAAGTTTTCAAAGTTCATCTCCATTGCCATACCCTTGAGCTTCATTTAATAATCTAGCTGGACCTCCATACCACTGTTGCAGAGTTGCTCAGTAAGCACTCACGGAGGGAATTTCTACTGCCACCACCTATCTGTGGTCTGTAGTACCTTGTGTCTGGTTTAGGGCGCTGGCCTTAGCTGGCCTTCTTGTCTCCTGCCTCTTCTATGTATTAAGTGGACTTCTTCTTCCTCTTTTTTAACCATCACTCAAATCTATGAGATGAATCCCCTCCAATTACCTCTGCTTACTCAATTCCACCTACCTTTCATGTTCTAGACCAACTCCATTTCTTCTCTCATGTGACCCATCCCTATCTGCTCTCTCCCTTTTCCAGCTGTCTTTGGTCTTTAGGGTCAATGCAATTCTGCCTCTCTAACTGGACACTAACTTCCATGGGAGCAGGGCCATCTTCCACATGGCTCACCCCAGCAAAGACTTGACAGAGTGGCAAGGAGCCACTGACTGGTTTCACATATCTTTATTCATAGCTTTGAGCAGAGAGAACCAAGAAAACTGAGAGGTCAATGGGGAGAAAAACAGACCCACAATAAAGATGAGCATGTGAGCTACGATGCAGGGGAAATTTATAGGGTCTTGGGAGGAAGGCTTGCCCAGGGTCAAATCCAGTCAGACACACCACTGCATTTTTCTTTTTGCATTTGTTTTACGCAAGCGGCTTCACTGGAACACTAAAGAGTTAGGGGTTTTTGCCTTCAAATATATAACTTTGCCTCTTTGAGCATGACACTACTGAGTTTCCACTGGAACAGAAAAGGGAAGTATTTTGCAACAAACTCAAAGGAACTACTTAGGATAGTTTTAGTTACATATATGGTTGTTTTATAGTTTTCTTGTTCTGAGATCACCCTCCAAAAATCAATGATTTGAGACAAAATGTTCCTAGTATGTTTGAGTCCCTGATTAAACTTTAAAAATTACCTGTTTCAGAGATATAAACTTTCAAGTTTCAATAACATCTATACTTGGGGAAACTTCCTCTTTAGCATTTCTTCATACAAACGGTCTGCAGCAATTGGGAAAAGGAGGAGATGGTATTCTACTTTAAAGCTTTATCTCACCCCACCAAAATGGGAGATGTTTCCTGACGACAGTTAGTTTATTAATTTCTGGCAGGCCTCCAGGGTTAAATAGGATTGAATTTACTTAGAGGCTATGCCACAGCCTCATGCAGGATCTTTTCCCTTTGCCAAAGAATAAGGCAAGTCACATGGAAGTCGGGTCTGTAAGGAAACTCAAAAGGATGAGGATCTTCTGTGCTTCATAACCGACCCCTCAAGAGAATAAACCCGAGATGAAAGTTCCCCTTTGTTATATGCAGTTTCAAGACAACTATCTTTTCCATATCCATAAAGTGGGAAAAATAAAGTTGAGAAGCAAATCTGAAGTCTTACATTAGCAACATATTTTGCAGGTGCAAATGCTTGTTATTCAATTAAACCTTCTAATGTCATTCTAGGAGTTCATATTGTGACAAATCTTCCTAGTTAGATAGTCTCTAGGAAACTCTACTTTTATTTTTCAGGATTTCTACAAGTCTTACTTCAAAAAACGTGCGGACTCCACGGTAAATCACTCAAGGCCCTTTGAGTTATTGCTAAACTTGCCCTGGCTACTGGTAGCTCCACATTTCCCAGCCCTTACCTCCAGTTCCCTCATTCCTATTTCCTTCCTGTCATCTGGCCTCAGCAATGTCCATGTCCCTTCCTTTCTTGTTGTTAAACGAACAGTTCACAACCTATACTCTCTCTCAGCCATCTCTTAAAAGTCTTCAGAATCAGGAGCCAGGTAGACAGATGCAAGGGCAGGAATGGCATTTTCTTCTTTGTCTGGTGGCACAACTAGATCCCTTAATTTCCAGTGTCTGTAGGTCATAAGTGGGTTACCTCTCCAAACCTCAAGTCTCCCCTTGATCTGGAAACTTCTCCCCTAAAACTGGCTTAAGTCAGTGGAATCTTCCTTTTACAAAAGTGTTACTGTCATCTGCCTGTGATGACCGACTGTGGAGGTTCTACAGGTTGGAAGAGTGGTGGCAAAGACCAACCACTGACTTACAGATTTTCCACATGGAGCCCATATGAAGAGTCCAGACTCTCACCTGAATGAGGAGATCGATAGCGGAAGTCCTCTTTGGTCAGCAGCAGGAGCGCTTTGCCATTCATTTCGAATGTGTTGCTGTCAATTGGCCTTAAAGAAAACTCATTTTCAGCCCACTTGAGCCACTGGGCTACGTCATCCCTGCTCCAGTAGATTGGCTGCAAGCCTGTTGGAGAGAGAGCAGGGCAGAGAAAAGAGGTCTTATCAGTTGGACAGTTGGTATAAGGAATAAAGATCTCTGAAGAGTTAAAAAAAAAATGAGTCTCCATGTCTCAAGAGCCCCGTTGCTAGATTCCAAGTCCCAGGTTAAAACTCAGGCTTCCTAAATGCTGTCAGATTATCTTTTTTCTTGCTTTCTTTTTTTTTTTTTTTTAAGAGGAAATCTTGGCCCTCCCTTTTCAAGTGTCTGAGGGATGGTAAGTCTTAAAACCCTGCCCCAGGGTCTGTATTAATTCCAGCCTAAAGTAGCCCAGGGGCACAGATTTAAGACAAACTTCAGCTAGGCTTTGGAGGGGATCTTAGAATCAGAGCTGATCTGACTATAGCCCAGTGCCCTTTTGAAGTGAGAAAGTTTCAAAGTTGGCCTTGACCTTCCAGAGCTGCCAAATAATGAAGTGTTCCCTGAAAACTCTTCCAGGAAGAGAGACTTACTCAGCCCCTGGGAAACCATCAGGCTAGCCTCTGGGAATAAGAGGGCAAGGTAAGGATGAAAGATCTTTAGCCTTTTTATTGGACTTGCTGATGTCAGAGCTTCCTGGGGAGGTCCTTCTGAGAAGGATCAGAAGAGGATGGTGGGAGGTCTGGAGTCGAGGCCCAGGGTGGCTCAGGTTGGGTCTCTGGGAGCCTGGCTGGGAGTCCTATATTTTTATATTGGTCTGCTGCTGTGGGAAACCTTTGATATATCATTCAAGTGATTAGGACAATGGTTCCCAAAGTTTGAACTAAAGAACCTCTTAGGGTTCCCAAGACTTTTGCTGGATATCTATGTAGTACCAAGTTTTTTCTTAATAATATTAAGAGATTCTTTGCCTCTTTTTCTCTTTTTTCCTGACCAGATAGTGGAATGCTTTAGTGGCTACATGACAAGTGATAGTGCAACAGATTGAATGCAGAAGACTTGAGAATTTAGTTATCTTCTATAAAGTGAGGTATTAAATAGACTTGTAAAATTGTCTAATGCTGCTACTTTTTGCACTGATTTTCTTTTGTTTTAGAAAACATTTTTTAAAAATATATATTTATATGAATGTACACTTGGCTTACTCTTTTTCAGTGTTAATAAGTATTTTTAAAATTCTGTTTTAGTTTATAATATGGCAAATAGAGATAAGATATAATCCACATGAGCAAAAGTTCTTGGGAAGTCTTCAAAAAATTTTTAAGAATTAAAAGTAATCCTGACAGCAAGAATTTAAGAACCACTGGGTCAGAAGAAGGTAGAAGCTCAACAGAGCTTCAGTCTCTAAAATCACATGTTATGACTCAGTAGTTCAAATAGAGAACAATGGAATCAATGTTGGCTAAGAGAAGCTTCAGTCTCTCAGTGTAAGTTACTTAAACTTCCTAAGGAGACTCCCTGAGTGTGTCATAAAAGTGTCCTTCAGTTAGATCTTGGAAAGAATCACCTTTTACCCTGAAACAGGTATGACAATGAACTGTGTAGTCTACTTAATGGGCTGCTGGAGTGGGGAACAAATGGCTGAGATTCCTTGGAGAATATCCAGGGTCTGGGCACGATGTTGGCTCCAAGTAGCTCCTCCCTGGAATATCCTTTTGAAGAAAGGTAGTTGGTTTCCTCTGACTCTATGGAAGTCCACTTAAAGCCAGCCATCTTGTAAGGCACCAATAAAACACTATTGGGCATCAAAATCATTAGAGCCAGGCATTTAATTAAGAGTTTTTCTTTTTTCTTTCTTTTTTTTTTTTTAAGGGGAGTTATTTTTTTTCACATGGAAAAAAACCAAGTAGCATTATAGAATAATGAGTAGTATATGATTGTTTCATGACCATTAGTTTAAAACATGGCCACTAAAGGATTCAAAGTTTAGGTTTTGACTATTGGCTGAGCTAGAAAGCAATGCCTGTTAAAATGGTCCAGGATATAGGAGGCACCCCGCTCTTTACAGTGACCTCGAAAATCCCTATGGGGAATTATAGTGAGGTGGTAGCTGCTCAGCAAAGTCTCAATTTTTGAGCCAGTGAAAACCTTCACATTTCCTACAGTCCATGGTGTCCCCTCTGAATGGGACCAGCACAGTGATTAGCTGTTACAGATGTCTACCTTTCTGTCCTTCACACAAGGAGCAGGAATACAGTGGCCATTATGGGACAAGTGACAAGTCCAGTCAAGCTTGGCCTACGAAAGCCCCTGGTGGAGAGAGGGCCAGAGAGTACAGGATGCTCAGGCCAAGCAGGGAAAGCACGGGGCAGCTTGTGGGAAGTGCCGGTGCCAAAGCAGATACAGAACTGAATCTTGCACGGGAGGGGAAATGAAAGCAAAATGCTGAAGTTTCTGCGGAGGACACGCTGAGATGGAGGGAGGTGAGGAGAAGTAGGCGGGGGGATGCAAGTAGTAATTTGAGGTTCTTTATATTCTATGGAAGAAAATACTCATGAGTAATCTTTTCCCTAAATACAAGAAGAGTCACACACTGCAAAGGGTGCTGCTGGTTAAGAACAACTGTTTCTCTTCTCACTTCCCATTAATCGCTCCCACAGCCCAGTCCTTGAGGCAACCAGGACCCCAGCCAGGTGGGAACCCCTCACTAGGAATCCACCTGAGGCTCAAAGGACCCAGAAAGTGACAGAGAATACTTTGCAATCCAAGCAGTTTTACAAAAGTGACCCTGATGGAGAAATCTACCTGCTCGAGGCCACTCAATAAATGGATCAGTCAACTGCTCTTCCATTAGCATAAGAGAGAAGGTGGACAGCTCACTGATATCAAAAGAGGTCTACTACACTTTAGGTGTTGGAAGTCAAGTCCCCAAGCGATTTCCTTTTTAATTCCACAGAATAAAAAGGTTTGGTATAAGATGTGCTTTGCAATTCTAATGGAGGAAAAAGAAGCCATTCCCTCAAACCTATCCTTTTGTGTGTTAAAGCTTCTGAGTGGAACAGAGAATAGGACCTGGAGGCAACTCTGGTCTAACTGAAACCATTTAATTGACTAAACAGTCATTTATTAAGCACTTTTATACACCTTGCACTGTTGTAATCACTTTATAAATATTAGTTCATTTAATTGAATGTGCATATAACCCTTAAGATAGGGGCTAAGATTAGGAAACTGAAGCTCAGTACATTTAAGGGATTTGCTCAAGGTTGTACGGCCCTAGGAACAAGATGAGCTCAGATTCCAACCCAGGCAGTCTGATCCCAGGGTCTACATTCTGGTCCATCACTCTACGTGTACATACACATTTCCCTTCCAGATTCAGAATTGAGACTGGTTTTCAACACCTCTTAGGATTCAAAAAAGACTGAAACTGACTCCTACCTATTCAAGATTGAGATCCTTGGAGGCGTTCTCAAGCTACCAAGAGAACAGAAATATAACGAAAAAAAAATCTTTAGATTCTCAGAGAAATAGATATATAAATGGGAAGAGGAGGGAGGTATGGATGAGACTCTGCTTTTAATGCCTCCAGAAACAAAGCACTACTTTCTGGGCTGCTTGTTCACTGCACTCAACTGCTCACAGCACTCAACTGCTTGGACTCTTCACATGACATCACAGCTGCCGACAGGACAGAGGCTGCCTGAGCAAGGTGAGAGGCGAACAAGTATAACTTGTTGTACAGTTGTCTCCTGAAACCTTGACTCAACACAGTGAAGGAACATAGGTGTTAATGATTATTAGCTGGGGAGCCCGAGACAGACACTGTATTGTTCTGCACCTATATACTACTTCCTGTGCACATAACAAACCCAGTGAAAGCCATTTACTAAAACCAGCATGTTTAATGCCAACTAATTTTCAGAGACTATTTGAGAAGAATTTTGCACAGAGGAAATGAACTGCTATGATTAAGAAAATCATTTCTAATTCCACTGCACTTTTTTCCCAGGGGGAGTCGAGTCAAGTTCATGGTATCATACCTTATGATACACCCAGGCTCTTAAACTTTCTTGATATCTTTAATTCCATGTTCAAAGTGGACAGCCACATTCATCAGGGCAATCTTACCCTCATTTCAGTCTTTGAGTTATGCTTATACTAAAGATGGAGAGTGTGCTGGGAGTCAGAAGCCTGGATTTTATTCCCAGATCAGCCACTAATTAACACGTGATTCTTGGGACTGAAGATGTGGCTCAAGCGGTAGTGCGCTCGCCCTGCATGCGTGCAGCCCGGGTTCGATCCTCAGCACCACATACAAACAAAGATGTTGTGTCAGCCGAAGACTTAGAAAAAAACATTAAAAAATTCTCTCTCTCTCTCTCTCTAAACAAAAAAAAAAAAAAAAAGAAATTAAAAACAACAACAACATGTGATTCTGGGCAGGCTGCTCAGTTTCTCCCTGGCTCAGGGGCTTCATCTGTAAAATGATGGACTGAGAATATGAGAGCTCTATTCCCTTCAGGGATTAGAACAGTCAGTATGCTCCTATTTTGTTTGAATCTTAAAAACCAAAGACTACAAACTGCCAGGTCCTTAATTTTTCTACAAAATTACTCCATGTTCATGATCATGACCCTGAGATTTTGTAACTTCCTGAAGGATCTTCTGAGTCACGGCAAACAGATTAGTGTTTAAGAGCGTCTTATATTTTCATTCTTGGAAAAATTTGTAAGCCAGCCATAGCAGTGATCAACACAGCAGTTTACATCTTTGGAGTTGATGAGATGCTTCCCCATGTTATCACCTCATGTAACTCCTGCAAAGTAGGTTAGATTCTCGTGTCAATAGAATGGATGAAGTAATGGAGTCAGTAGATGTGGTTTGAGCAATATGCAGTTCAAAGTTCTTTCATTATAGTAGCCACTTAGCAAAATCATCCTTCATCCCAAACTTTATGCATAAACAGGAATTTGCTCTAGATTCTATGGGTAGGAGGGCAGAATTACAAAGTGAGAGAGACAGGAGATGATCGGAGATTGTCCAAACCCTATTCCATTTTAATGATTAGGAAACTGAAGCCTGGAAAAGTTGATGAACTTGCCCCC